TCATTCCATATTAAGATAATCCTTCTTAATATTAAAATATCACATTTGTTCTTATACTGTCCTTCATACAACCATTTACTTACAATTACTGAGGAACGTTGCACTTTACCCAACACATGTAGCTATTTCCTGGGTGACCAGTGGGCCCCTGCCCCCCCCTCCCAGGGGCTGCACCCACAGGCAGTCACCCTCCCACTACACCCTCCCACTAGCCTCCAGCAGCCCATTATCAAAACAAAAGCCAATGGATGTACAACCTATAAGTGAAGTGCTGACATTCACATCTATATGTCATTATTTGACTTGAAGGTTTCTGCTGAAGGATCGCCCGTACTCCACCCAATTTGTTTCTTTATTATGCACCCCATACCCATCACGTGGGCGGTGGTGTAAAGGGTTACAGAGGTACATAATCGGTTCAGAAACTGAACCCCATAGTTCGTTTAGCTAAGCAAGTAACAATCTTTTGAAGCTAGTTACAAAATTATTAATGTTACATACATGTACACATACTCATACATACATATACATATATATACAATCATATATACATACACAAATACATACACACATCAATAATCTTTTATATCACAAGTGATTCAACAAGAGGCTCACAACAGTCACTATACACGGCACTTTACATCTATGGTGAGTCACACAGTTACTAGTCTTGCTCCACACCCACCCAACTGGGCGGCAGCTTTACAGTCATGTACTCCACACCCACCCAACTGGGCGGCAGCTTTACAGTCATGTGCTCCACACCCACCCAACTGGGCGGCAGCTTTACAGTCATGTGCTCCACACCCACCCAACTGGGCGGCAGCTTTACAGTCATGTGCTCCACACCCACCCAACTGGGCGGCAGCTTTACAGTCATGTGCTCCACACCCACCCAACTGGGCGGCAGCTTTACAGTCATGTGCTCCACACCCACCCAACTGGGCGGCAGCTTTACAGTCATGTGCTCCACACCCACCCAACTGGGCGGCAGCTTTACAGTCATGTGCTCCACACCCACCCAACTGGGCGGCAGCTTTACAGTCATGTGCTCCACACCCACCCAACTGGGCGGCAGCTTTACAGTCATGTGCTCCACACCCACCCAACTGGGCGGCAGCTTTACAGTCATGTGCTCCACACCCACCCAACTGGGCGGCAGCTTTACAGTCATGTGCTCCACACCCACCCAACTGGGCGGCAGCTTTACAGTCATGTGCTCCACACCCACCCAACTGGGCGGCAGCTTTACAGTCATGTGCTCCACACCCTCCCAACTGGGCGGCAGCTTTACAGTCATGTGCATGCATTACCTACAGTAAGCAAATTTTGGATACTTCGCTAAGATTTCGGGCAGTACATCATTATGAATGAAGTACTTACACATTTCTTGGACACTATTGATGGTGTTATCTCTTAATTCCGCGATTTTTTCACATTCCATTATATAATGACGCAAAGTATGCGAATAGTTCTGCTGACAGAGTTTACATTTAGTCAAATCTACATCAGCAGATGTTACAAACTCCCAGAGGTACTTGTAGCCGAGCCTAAGCCTAGCAGTGGTAACATCTAGAAGTCTGCTAACATAATAGAATGATGATAGATTATTGTGATGAGTCTCCGAAATTTAGTTGATGTTCCATAGACGTGCGGTCAGTACGACTTCCTGCATAATAGAAGTCGGGGATTGAACGCCGACCTTCATGAAGCGAGACCGTCGCTCTACCGTGCAGTCCAAGTGGTTGGGCACCATTCCTAGAGGCTCGTCCAGTGCCCAATTCAACGAGCCTCAAGTTTAAGGTACAGATCGGAGGCTTACAAGGCGTCGGAAGTGACATCCCGTGGCGCTCGTGGCACTCTCTGGAGGCACTCTGGTGCGTCAGTGTGGGGCTCGAGGCCTGCAGGCACCATATACAACCAGGCTGTTGCTTGGAGCGGCCCGCAGGCTAACATATACCTGGTTGATGGGGTTCTGGGAGTTGTTCTACTCCCCAAGCCCGGCCCGAGGCCAGGCTCGACTTGTGAGAGTTTGGTCCACCAGGCTGTTGCTTGGAGCGGCCCGCAGGCCCACATATACCTGGTTGATGGGGTTCTGGGAGTTCTTCTACTGCCCAAGCCCGGCCCGAGGCCAGGCTTGACTTGTGAGAGTTTGGTCCACCAGGCTGTTGCTTGGAGCGGCCCGCAGGCCCACATATACCTGCTTGATGGGGTTCTGGAAGTTCTTCTACTCCTCAAACCCGGCCCGAGGCCAGGCTTGACAGAGTTTGGTCCACCAGGCTGTTGCTTAGAGCGGCCCGCAGGCCCACATACCCACCACAGCCCGGTTGGTCCGAAACTTCTCTTAGAAAACAGTCCAGTTTTCTCTTGAAGATGTCCACGGTTGTTCCGGCAATACATCTGGTCTCCGGTTGTGAGACTGGTGAGGCCTCGACGACACACCAAGCCACACCTTAGTTTCAACGTTACCGATATCATCGCTCATCATCATTACCATCATCACCGTCGTCACTCATCACCATCACCGTCGTCACTATCATCACCAGACACCAAGATCACCCTCCACGGCCTTCCTCGCCAACCTGTTGCCGCCTGACGAGGGTTGCCGGAGTACAATGATACGACACATTCCCCTCTTTAAGTGGGCAAGCCTGAGCAGTGTGGCACGACTGTGCCTCACAGCGCCCCTGTGCCTCACTGCGCCCCTGTGCCTCACAGCGCCCCTGTGCCTCACAGCGCCCCTGTGCCTCACAGCGCCCCTGTGCCTCACAGCGCCCCTGTGCCTCACAGCGCCCCTGTGCCTCACAGCGTCCCTGTGCCCCACAGCGCCCCTGTGCCTCACAGCGCCCCTGTGCCACACAGCGTCCCTGTGCCACACAGCGCCCCTGTGCCACACAGCGGCCCTGTGCCACACAGCGCCCCTGTGCCACACAGCGTCCCTGTGCCACACAGCGCCCCTGTGCCTCACAGCGCCCCTGTGCCTCACAGCGCCCCTGTGCCTCACAGCGCCCCTGTGCCACACAGCGCCCCTGTGCCACACAGCGCCCCTGTGCCACACAGCGCCCCTGTGCCACACAGCGCCCCAGTGCCACACAGCGCCCCAGTGCCTCACAGCGCCCCTGTGCCTCAGCACCCCTGTGCCCACCACGTGGCCACCACAACACGGGGCCACCACAACACGGGGCCACCACAACACGGGGCCACCACAACACGGGGCCACCACAACACGGGGCCACCACAACACGTGGCCACCACAACACGGGGCCACCACAACACGGGGCCACCACAACACGTGGCCACCACAACACGTGGCCACCACAACACGGGGCCACCACAACACGGGGCCACCACAACACGGGGCCACCACAACACGGGGCCACCACAACACGGGGCCACCACAACACGGGGCCACCACACCACCTGACCACCACACACCGCAAGCGTTATCTTCCCTCTGGCAAGGTCTTACACATTTCTTGGTGCAAATATCGGTAATTTATTGTGACGCGACGTTATCCTTCGCTTAGCATATTTATGTATTTCTAGGGATGTGGATATCTCCATTCTTTTGTTTTTAATTCCCATGTGTCTATATCTGCATACTGAGCTTTCTGGCAGTTTTATCTATTACATTCTATGTTACGTCTTGAATTTCTTTCGGCTAAATAGTCGAAATTCTTGGAGCCTTCTGATAATTACTCAAGATTTCTTTCTGTGTCTATGTTCTGTTCTGCTGTTATCAAGTTTCCCTTATTCTGGTATTTTGTTCTTGTTTTACATTGTCTATGTTGCTTATTTCTCAATGTATGTAAATAATTGGTCCGTTCTTCCCCCCCACAATACTCAAGAATAATTTAGGGTTAAGGTTCAGGAAGATGAGTTAGGTTCTCTAAACACCTGTTTGTCTCTCGTGTGAAGCCCGAGCAAACCTGAGGCCCACAGTGCCAAGTGTTTATAAAACATGTTATATAAACACTGCAACATGCAGCAACATGTTTGCAACAGCAGCAGCAACAGCAGTAACAGCAGCAGCAACAGCAGTAACAGCAGCAGCAGGAACAACAGCAGAACCAACAGCAGCAGCAGCAGCAGCAGTAACAGCAGCAGCAGCAACAGCAACAGCAACAACAGCAGCAGCAACAGCAACAGCAGTAACAGCAGCAGCAACAGCAGCAGCAGCAACAGCAGTAACAGCAGTAACAGCAGCAGCAACAGCAGTAACAGCAGCAGCAGGAACAACAGCAGAACCAACAGCAGCAGCAGCAACAACAACAGCAGCAGCAACAGCAGCAATAGCAGCAGCAACAGCAGCACGAACAGCAACAGCAACATCAGCAATAGCAGCAGCAGCAACAGCAGCAGCAGCAACAACAGCAGCACCAACAGCAGCAGCAACAGCAGCAGAAGCAGCAACAGCAGCAACAGCAGCAGCAGCAGCAACAACACCAGCAACAGAAGCAGCAGCAGCAGCATCAGCAGCAGCAGCAACAGCAGCATCAGCAGCAACAGCAGCAACAGCAGCAGCAGCTTCAGCAACAGCAGCATCAGCAGCAACAGCAGCAACAGCAGCAGCAGCAGCAGCAGCAGCAGCAGCAACAACAACACCAGCAACAGAAGCAGCAGCAGCAGCATCAGCAGCAACAGCAGCAACAGCAGCAGCAGCTTCAGCAACAGCAGCATCAGCAGCAACAGCAGCAACAGCAGCAGCAGCAGCAGCAGCAGCAGCAACAACAACACCAGCAACAGAAGCAGCAGCAGCAGCATCAGCAGCAACATCAACAACAACACAGCAGCAACAGCAGCAACAACACAGCAGCTTCAGCAGCAGCAGCAAGCGGCTCAGCAGGAGTATAGTCAGACAGCAGCAAGAGTTGTTTGTGGCAGGATGTCAGCTGCTCCAGCTGCTGCCCTCGAGCAGTAATCTCTAGCATCAGCCTCGCGCCGGAAGAAAAGAATTTCACTTACGATTCTCCTTCTTTCTGGAGTACGATATTATCACTTCAAGATGGTCTTGGGCGGACAGCTCTCGTCTTTACCAGAGCAAGCTCCAGGTCGCCTGTGGGAGGCGTCGGCGGTGTTGTGCAAGACTTCAAGAGTCCTGTGTAGACCTGCCGTGCGGTGGGCAGCTGAGGCAGCTGGGAGTGACAGGCGGTGGGCAGCTGAGACAGCTGGGAGTGACAGGCGGTGGGCAGCTGAGGCAGCTGGGAGTGACAGGCGGTGGGCAGCTGAGACAGCTGGGAGAGGCAGGCGGTGGGCAGCTGAGGCAGCTGGGAGTGACAGGCGGTGGGCAGCTGAGACAGCTGGGAGTGACAGGCGGTGGGCAGCTGAGGTAGCTGGGAGTGGCAGGCGGTGGGCAGCTGAGACAGCTGGGAGTGACAGGCGGTGGGCAGCTGAGGCAGCTGGGAGTGGCAGGCGGTGGGCAGCTGAGGCAGCTGGGAGTGGCAGGCGGTGGGCAGCTGAGGCAGCTGGGAGTGGCAGGCGGTGGGCAGCTGAGACAGCTGGGAGAGGCAGGCGGTGGGCAGCTGAGAGTGACAGGCGGTGGGCAGCTGAGGCAGCTGGGAGTGGCAGGCGGTGGGCAGCTGAGGCAGCTGGGAGAGGCAGGCGGTGGGCAGCTGATGCAGCTGGGAGCGCCAGGCGGTGGGCAGCTGAGGCAGCTGGGAGTGGCAGGGGGTGGGCAGCTGAGGCAGCTGAGTGACAGGCGGTGGGCAGCTGAGGCAGCTGGGAGTGGCAGGCGGTGGGCAGCTGAGACAGCTGGGAGTGACAGGCGGTGGGCAGCCAAGAACAAAAATGGTGGACATCTTTATGAGATACGCACGCTCCGCTGAATTAACTGAAACGACTCAAATTTCACAAAAATACCCGAACGTCTTGGAATTGGGTAACAAAAAATATATAAAACTTTCATACTAAAATACTGGCAATAATCGCAGAGCGTGAATAGACATAAAACAATTCTGAAATAAGTTCCCTTTTTAACGAAAGATAAAAATCAGTGATTTGAGACCGTGGACACTCCTGGGCCTGCGGGCCGCTCCAAGCAACAGCCTGTTGGACCAAGCTATCACCTCATGGTCGCTCCTCACACTACACCTCATGGTCGCCCCTCACACTACACCTCATGGTCGCTCCTCACACTACACCTCACTCTCCTCACCTCCAAGTTAAAATTTGGGCGGGAGTTGGCAGTGTTCAGCACCTCAGGCAAATTCCAATACGATTGCCAGGGGAAGCTGCAGATCTCTCTCTCAGGGCGGGCGGCCCTCGGCGACACACAGACCTCTCCCTGCCGGACCACATACACACAGACCTCTCCCTGCCGGACCACATACACACAGACCTCTCCCTGCCGGACCACATACACACAGACCTCTCCCTACCGGACCACATACACACAGACCTCTCCCTCACGGACCACATACACACAGACCTCTCCCTCACGGACCACATACACACAATGTCGTCCCAATACCGCCAACACATGCCTTTCAGGCCACGTTTCAGACCCTTGCGCTGGATCTGAGACGAGTATAGAAGAATTCCGTGAGCGAATACCTGAGTCCGACGCTGAATACACTCAAATGCGCTCACCTGGACCGGGTTTTCCCTGATCGCGGCTCCTGTCCCTTCCTTCTCCTTCCATATATCATTTTCTCCTCTTCTCCCCTCTCGCAATTCCCGTTCCATGTCCAGTTTTTCCTCTCACTATTCCGTATGTTCCACAATCCTGTTCCTCGTCTCGGTCTGTTCTACTTAGCTTTCTCTTGCTGCAAAACACCTCCTCCCTGCCCACACCCCACACCTGCCACCACCACCTCCCTGCCCACACCCCACACCTGCCACCACCACCTCCCTGCCCACACCCCACACCTGCCACCACCTGAACTAGCCGCCACGCCACCATACATGAACCATCAAGGCTGACGAAGGGAAGCACCAACTGACCGCCTTAAACAGCCTGGACCACCATTATCCTCACTTTAATAAGACTTTATCAAAATCCTCAGATTAGGCAAAATTGTGATTAATTTTACCAATAAAGATGTTAATAATAATAATAAGGTCTCTCAAGTGCTCACTCCGTAACAAAGGTAACGCTTAAGAAGTACCCTTAAGCAATAAATTGTCAGCCACCCTTTCGTGCAAATAAACATGCCATATACCTGGGCTCTTGGGGACTCGAACCGGGAACCCCATGCACGCGAGACCCCAAGCTCTATCCACTGGGCTATGAGCAGCCTTAAAAAAAAAGTGTTAGTATACATAGCATGTATACTAACACGTCTCATTTTTAACGGAGTATTTTTGAAGGTGCAGGCCACGATAGGTGTGTGCATGCACTCAACACAATGAGTGCATGCACTCAACACAATGAGTGCATGCACTCACTACACCCCAGACTCACAAGTTGATGTGTTGAAGCGGCTTCCAACACCCAGCAGCACTGTGTAGCACTCCACCAGAGGTGTAAGTGTGGCCTCCCCAACACCTACACATCAGGTGGAGTTGTGTAACAGTCCAATGGTACCACTTCTTGTGATATTTCTAATGGGCATTTTTGTCGCAATTGTTCTGCTATCTTGGGTCGTTATCCTTTGGCCAGAAATGAGAGAGAGAGAGAGAGAGAGAGAGAGAGAGAGAGAGAGAGAGAGAGAGAGAGAGAGAGAGAGAGAGAGAGAGAGAGAGAGAGAGAGAGAGAGAGAGAGATAGAGAGAGAGAGGTAGAGAGAGGTAGAGAGAGGTAGAGAGAGGTAGAGAGAGGTAGAGAGAGAGTAAAGAGGTAAACAGGAGGTAAAGTAGCCAGAGAGCCAGGCCAGAAGAGGCCCACCACGCTACACACACCCACTTCATCATATTAATGGCTCCCAGGAAAATGGGATTTAGCAGGAAACGGCTCCTTGCAAATGTTGCCTTTACAAGGCGTGAGAATAACCAGACAAGAGGCAGTGTTCAGGGAGCATTATGCTGGTGATGAGACCAGGTGAGGAGTCTTTACCGGGAGAAAGATTAAGACATTGTCTTCTTGCGCTCCCCCCCCCCCCACCCCCACCCCCCCCTCCCTCCACAACCTCGGCTACAAAAAACACCTTTTCTTCTCCTGGCACTTTTCTTCCTGTCTTGAGGAGGAGAGGCTGAAGGAGGCGCTTGTATACCCCCCCCCCCCTCCCCGCAACTGAATACAGGCTGGACTCCGGGTTCCTTGTGTAGCCTCCGGGGATCAACGGCCGCGTAGCCCGGTCCCCGACCAGGCCTCTTGGTTGGTCGTCTAGTCAACCAGGTTGTTGGACGCGGCTGATCGCAGCCTGACGTATGAGTCACTGCCTGGTTGATCAGGTATCCTTTGGAGGTGAATGGTGAACAAACTGGTGAACAAGCTGCAGGTATGGTCGAACAAGTGGTTGTTGGAGTTTAACCCAAGCAAATGTAAAGGAATGAAGATAGGTGTAGGGAGCAGGAGGCCAGATACAAGGTATCACTTGGGAGATGACATTCTTCAAGAGTCAGAGAGAAAGACTTGGGGTTGATATCACGTCAGACCTGTTCCCTGAAGCCCATATCAAGAGGATAACATCAGCGGCATATGCCAGGTTGGCTAACATAAGAACGGCCTTTAGAATCTTGTGTAAGGAATCATTCAGAACTTTGTATATCACATATGTCAGACCAATCCTGGAGTATGCAGCTCCAGCATGGAGTCCATATCTAGCCAAGCATAAGACTAAACTGGAAAAGGTTCAAAGGTTTGCCACCAGACTTGTACCCGAATTGAGAGGTATGAGCTATGAGGAGAGACTACGGGAATTAAATCTCACGTCGCTGGAAGACAGAAGAGTTAGATGGGACATGATCACCACTTACAAGATTCTCAAAGGAATTGATAGGGGTAGATAAAGACAGGCTATTTAACACAAGGGGAACACGCACTAGGGGACACAGGTGGAAATTGAGTGCCCAATTGAGCCACAGGGTTATTAGAAAGAACTTTTTTAGTGTCAGAGTGATTGACAAATGGAATGCACTAGGCAGTGGTGTGGTGGAGGCTGACTCCATACACAGTTTCAAGTGTAGATATGATAGAGCTCAATAGGCTCAGGAACCTGTACACCTGTTGATTGACAGTTGAGAGGCGGGACCAAAGAGCCAGAGCTCAACCCCCGCAAGCACAACTAGGTGAGTACACACACACACACACGCACCTTGATACACAGCAGAAGGCAGTCATTCCTGCACCAGAGAAGTGTAGCATTGTCTTAAGTGTTACTCAGTCCTGCACACACACTCCAACACGTCCCTACACCACCACCACACAAGGCCCCCCTTCTCCCCTCCCTCCCCCCCCCATGCCCAGGGAGCTGAGCCCCCCACCAGAGCATTCCTCCACAATACACACAACGTCTCCCACATCACCACGCTCCCACGGCATATAGAACCAACAGCAGTAATATTTTGCCTGGGAGGGCCAGTTATTATCTCCCTAACCAATGGCTGGCCGCTTCAAGCACCTCCACTTCCTCCTTCAACGAGCCAAGTGTCTGTTACTGTGAGGCTGCCACACGTTGACCACAGTTTCCTTGATCAGCGGCGCCCATATCCGTATGAATATACGTATATTCATACGTACCGTATGAACATTGTTGTAGATGGCGAGACCTGCAGCAGTACGGTATAGACAGCGTCCTGGGGGCTCCCTCCTGAGGGCCCGTAACTACAGCTTCTCCCACCATGCTGAGGGCCCATAACCCCAGCATCACCCACCATGCTGAGGGCCCGTAACCCATGATTTGTGTCTGAGTGTGCAAACCGAAACAAGGCCAAGAGACTTAAGATTCCCTGAAATCCACAGACCTGCTGACCACCACAGATAATGTGATCAAAGCGTTCAGCTGATGAAAATCAGCGGTTGGAAACGTAGTAACTGCTGTCCACACATTTTCTTTCTGTGTCTCGGCACCTTTTATATGTAAGACAGTAGTCAACACCTCTTAGACTACCAAGAACCAGGACCAGCAAGTAGAGAACAAAGATTTGATCTTATTTTCCAAATGGTTAGACCACCCCCCCTCCACCATCCTCTTATTCCTGCTCCTTCTTCATCTATCCAAGGTCCACCTACCATGGTTGTGGTGCCACACGAGGATAATGCCATGGTTGTAGTGACACACATGACTATGCAGGATGAGGAGGCAGGTATAAAGGGACACGTGTGTGTGTGTGTGTTGCTGCCACAACCACAGCGCCAGGGAGCTCCAGACACGCACCTCCGTGACTCAAGTAGCTACACCCTGAATTATTAGCTATTCATCTCGCACTTGAAGGTTTGAGACGTGTCAGTGATGTTGGTTAAGCTGGCGTGTGCTGGTTAGGTTCAACTGGGTTGGCTTGAACTTGGTGGACGGAATGTGGTGGGCAGAACTTTGTTGGACTGAAAAAAGTCCCGGTGTTCTGGGATGGGATACTGAAGTGAGTTGAACGTATATTCTTAAGGTGGGTATAGTCATGATGGGCTGAGATGAGGTGGAACCATCGCAACTCCACGACGTCAGATGAGTAACCATCTGACTAGCAATGTGTCAGCTGGTTATAACTTGGTGGTGTACGACCACCAATCTAGAAATATATTTCATATACTCGCTGGGAGGGTGTTGAACAACCGGGGACCTCTGATGTTTATACAGTGTTCTCTGATTGTGCCTATGACACCTCTGTTCTTCACTGGTTCTATTCTGCATTTTCTTCCATATCGTTCACTCCAGTATGTTGTTATTTTACTGTGTAGATTTGGGACCTGTCCCCTGTAGTAT